TGCGAAGGCGAACAAGTTAAAACAAGTGTGGACTATTGCTGGATTCACACTACATCCGATTTGCGTCATACAACGCTCTGCAACCAATCAGAAAACAGGATTCCGTGTGAATCCAGCAATAAATGGGTGCATCCAGAAGCACGACCGTCCACTGAGCGCTCAGTAAGCTCTTGCATCTGATTGGCATATTCTATTAGAACTAAAAATATAGACTAATGCCCATTTCCACCAATATAGATTAACTTTAATCTCGGTTCAACTTACTCTTCGTCTTTTTCTAATCTTTAGAACTAGAAAAAGACAAAGAGTAAGTTGAACCGAGATTAAAGATGATCTGCGTTGGTGGAAACGGACCTAAACAGATACAAAAGCTCACTGAGCCCTCAGTGATCCCTTTTACACCGAGCACTTAATACGCGTATTTAACTAGTAATTTTCTATTAAATTATTTCAATTTCAGCATGTATTTGAAGAATAATGTATTAAATTAATAAAATGTGAGCGCTCTCAGTGAGTTCTCGGATCTGATTGGCATATTCCGTTAGATCTAAAAATATAGAAACAAACAGATACAAGAGCTCACTGAGCGCTCAGTGAGCGGTCGTAGTATTGGGTGCGTTCAGCGAATACAACGGTTGTGCAACTGTTGGCAGAATGGTCACTGAACGCGCCTGATCAGTGAGCGTATTCGCAACACGTTCAGTGAGCGGACGCCATTTTTCTGAGCGAATTTCAAGTACGCTCAGTGAGCACAACGTGTTGCAGACTTGACGAAATTTGGACATTTTTATGAAAATGTCGAACGTATACGAGAAAACGTATACATACAATAATGCGTTATATAAAGTTACTGATACTGCTGCAGTACATAAATCATTAATAAACGGTAAATATCAATAATTAACATATTTCTTTATTTAATCAACCTTAACTCTCCACAGACCAATTTGGGTCGTTTGAGACCGAACTTTTTCTTTTTTAGATTTTTAGAGTCCAAAATTCTAACTTCTGAAAATTACAGTGACCAACTTTTGTTTAAGTGGAAAACAAGTTAGTCTGTGGAAAGTTTTATCTACTGAATATTTATGTTTTTTTTATTAATTGTACAATTTTATTTTTATAATTTTTTTTTAATTTTTGAGTTGCCTCAGACATTTTATTTGAGGCAACTAAGAAAATGTCATCCTAAAATGTTCTTTAAATACATTGTTAGTATATAACGGAACTATTCTTTCATAATAATTTTCATTTTTCCAGTGTATACCACGTCTCGCATAAAGATTATTCGGTAATTCATTTTATAATTCTTCGACAAAATGTCTCACTATATTTCTCTCTATAACATTATCATCTAGCAAAGTCAGAAGTATAAAATTAGCAGCCATTATTGTAAATATCTAAAAGAACTTTTCCAAACATAAACATTATGCGGTACGTGCGATGTTTAAATAAGGTTATATTTTTGTGTAGCTACTGCGCATGTATAAACGTTTAGACCGTTCAGGAAACTGTTCACTGATCACTTTATGCTCGATGAGCGCTCAATGATCAGGATGTGCAACCGTTGTATTCGCTGAACGCACCCATTGAATGCACCCAATGGCTGCGTTCAACAGAGAAAGCAGCTTTGCAACTGTTGCAAAATTCTTCAATATGATTAGTCTTGTCCTTAGTTCCTCATTGGATCTAAATGTATAAACCAATCGTATTCAAGAATTTTACACGAATTTTATAAGGGTATATCCACACAATTTGCATAGCCGCATAAACATATGCATAAACAAAATTATCTAATCACATTTCTCTTTTAAAGTCGCATGTAAAATGTGATTGGATTATTTTCTTTATGCATTTTCTTTATGCGGCTATGTAAATTTGTGTGGATATATATACCCTTATAAAACCTATATAAATCTTTGTGTCCACGATGCGAGATTTCGGACAGAAAAAGAATTAGGGGCTCTGCATAATAAAAGGAACAGGGAACAGAGAATAAGAATTTCAACCTATCAGAAATCATGTATTGTGGAATGCACTGTTTCGAGGTTAGAACAGGCTAGCATGAGAGCATTTTTCGTATTCCTGCTGCTTAAGATGTCTGCATAGCATAAAAAGTTCGTCTTTACGGATTTTTCGACGTCTTGTGTCTAAGGGCTATCGCACATGAAATGAATGCATAACAGAGCATAAGCATAACATAAGACCGCTAAACCAATGAACATCTTATGTAAATCAATATGGCGACATTATGCTAGATGCTCATTGGTCCAACAGTCTTATGTTATGCTTATGCTCTGTTATACATTTCATGTGCGATAGGCCTTTCTGATAGATTGAAATTCTTATGGCCGCAGCACACACTCTTGCATAACGCATTCAGTGTTGGTGTGAACTGAGTGCGCACTGGTGCGCACTAACTTTTGCCCAATCGAAAACGCTATTAGAAATTTGTTCGAAACCTCGGATGAAGAAAGAATTGACCAATCGCATTGGTCATATGACCAAATTGTTCAAATGTGATTCGTTAAAGGGTGATTCGCACAATAAAAGGAACAGGGAACAGAGAATAAGAGCCCAGACACAATTTTTTGCATAAAGCATAATGCATGGTGCATAAACGAATCAACTAATCAGAATCTTTCCTTTCCTCCCATTCCATGGAAAAGAAGAATTTCGATTGGTTG